CTCTTGGTGAAATGTATTGATTATTGCGACTGCTGATTCATTTCTACCAATGTAGATTAACTTCAATCTCAGTTTAATTTACTTTTTGCCTTTTTCTAGTTCTAAAAATTAAAAAAAAATATAAAAGTGAGTTACACCGAGATTAAAGTTAATCTACATTCGTAGAAATGAATCAGCAGTCGCAATAATCAATACATTTCACCAAGAGAAAGCATATATTTTCAAACAGGCCTGTGTTCTCGCTCGATATTAAAAGCAGAAGATTGATTTAATTAAGTTTTTTTCAGGTCTCGGAGACGAATGGGGTGCCGTGCCACCGCCCAACAATCCCTTAGAGACCACCATCAAGGAACTGGGTTCGCATCTCTTACAAGTGAGTGATCGTCACTTTTAACTTTCACCGATTAATAAAGACAAATATAAATCCAGAATACAATTCTCAGCTTGCGGAAAATTAGAAAATTTTACGGCGTAAAAATACCTAATAAATTCACATGAGTCGTGAATTAACCTTGTGATAACAGGCTATTTCTGACTGCAGACACTGGACGGGTTCATCTTCGTCGTGGCACCGGACGGGAAAATTATGTACATAAGCGAGACCGCTAGCGTGCACTTAGGTTTGTCGCAGGTGGGAGATATCCCCTCATTTATTTCACTAATTAATAATTCAATTTTGGCAATTTTTTGAGAAAAAAAATGTATTCAACATTTACTTACGCAATTACGTTTATGTTTAAACAACTACGTATCTCTGAATATGTAAATGTCAAGAAAATATAAAAACAAATAAATGAATAATATTGAAAATATCTTGCATGTATAATTTGTAATAAAATTTCCCGCGCAAAATTGCATTATTATGTGTTGTGTGTATCGTATTATTACATCGTTGTGTGTATATGTTACATTGCTACGCCAGGTAATGGAAGTCCACGTTAATCCGGAAACTATTGACGGAAACTGTTCGTATGTGCAGGTGGAATTAACGGGAAACAGCATATTCGAGTACATTTATCCGGAAGATCGCAACGAGATGGTTTCCGTGCTGAATCTTCCGCAGAGCCCTGCGGATCTGGCGGGTTTCACATTCCCGCCACCGAATTCGCGAGGTGAGATCGAGCTGGAACGTGCCTTTCTCCTCAGAATGAAGTGCATCCTAGCGAAAAGGAACGCGGGTCTTGTCACGGAAGGATACAAGGTAAACAAGAAAAAATTAATTTTTATAAAATATTAAATTAATGCCCAATTAATATATCAAACGTCCTCGGGGATAGCACACACATTTAAAGTTTCTTAAAATGATTAAGTTACTATTATGTGCGTATGTATGTACATGTTGACACTTGATCAAAAAATTGTTCAAAATATTATCAGTCATGGTCGAAAAAGATTTTGAATTCCCACGTACATTGTAACTTTGGATTATATAATTTTATTAATTATTATTACAGTAAAGATAAAATAAGTATTAAGCAAAAGGAAATGTCTTGCAAATCTCGTTTTCTTTTTAATATAAGTCAAAAATTTTTTAAGACAAGCTTACGGCAGTAATTTTAAGAACAGAAAAGTAGTCTTTTTTACACAAACAAGAGAGAAAGAAAGACGAGAAGGAGCAAGTTAAATATACGATAGTTTCACTATTCTATGTATAATCCGAGACTGAAAGAGATTAATGGAAGGATACGAGTTGCGCGATTAGTATTCTTTTACTATATACATATATATATATATATATATATATATATATATATGTATAT